AGAAAGCATTAAGCTTGGAAGAGTTGAAAATACTCAAGGCTGCATAGTAGTGAAGTTTTGTTTGGAAGTTCAGTCTGGAAGAATAATATCCAGACTGTTTCCATCAAAATACTTAGTCTCTTTACAGAGCGTATGGGATGGAGATGTCCCTAAGATCAGTAATAATGTCCTGATGACAACTGGCTTTACCATTTGTGTAGAGCAAAGAGAAGGTCTATGTGTTTTTGCCGCTCTCACATGCAATGGATCTTTGGGGACCTCTTGGCCCAGTTTCCTTTTCTCCCTAGGTTCTGATGATGTCAAACACTTAAACCTGGGGCCCAGGAAAGTCCACAGAGATAGCCTCGAATCTCTGCTAATTCCTCACCAACACTGTACAGCTGAGACCTCAGGCCCACAGGGGCTCGGTGTTCATCACCCCTGAGGAGCTCACAGAAGCCATAAATCCTATTCACTTGCCTCTGCTTTCTCTCAGCTTGCCATAGAAGCATCTTTGGGGTTTCTGAGATTCTGGGAACTCCATCAGCTGAATAAACTAGAGAAGCAAGATCTGAGGCAGAAATTGGTGAATAGAGACAAGATACCTTTTCCTCATCTTTAACCGAGCTTGAGCTTCCACAGCATAGAGGTGAGAAATCAATGTCCCACGAGCAGTAGCAGTTCATAAACCAACATCATTCAGACCCTATACACAATCTGAGGACTCCTGTGACAAAGCCTCCCTTATAATCTCTCCTTGGATCTTTTCCACATTGAGCTCAACACCAAAGGTCAAAATTAATAAAATGGGTTGTTGAGACTTTTCTGTTTTCTCTTCATGGAACCAGAGGAGAGCAGGTTGAGTAAGCTTTCATTGCTGCGTTGCCCTGTACATGCCCCTTGACATTCTGCGCTTAGCTTCCTGCTGTACAAAGGGCCACTGTTCCCCCACCTTTGAGAATCTGCCACAAAGCATTATCATTCCTCCCCTGTCTCACTGCTTTATGTCAGAATGGTAAGGCAACAAGGCATGTGAGGGCAATATCCCATGCTTCTCATTTTGTTTAGCAATCATCTTATAACCAGACTAATCCCAACAGGTTCTATTGCCAAAGGAGGTCCTTTTTTGAAAATGGAATCAAAATATTTTATTCTCCTTTTAATCAGTTGAACAAATAAGTTCAGACCCATTTGACTGCTCACAATTTTTGTTTCAGTTTCCAACTCATGTTTTGTGTTTTGTTTTTAATTTAAGGTATATCAAAAGACTATCACGCTGGGCGGTGGTGGCACACACCTTTAATCCCGGCACTCGGGAGGCAGAGGCAGGAGGATCTCTGTGAGTGCGAGGCCAGCCTGGGCTACAGAGTGAGATCCAGGAAAGGCTCCAAAACTACACAGAGAAACCCTGTCTCAAAAAAAAAAAAAAAAAAAAGACTATCACATGTGCACACTGAGAGTGCAGTGGAGCGGGTCTCTGAAGGGTAGATTCGAGGAGTAAGGAAAGTGCTGACGGCAACAACAATAACGTTCAGTGTGTGGTGAGTATTCTACATTATAGGCACTGTTGAGCCCTAAATAATTACATAATTTTTGATTTATGATTTGTTTAGTTTTCTTTTACTTCAGGGGCTTGAACCTAGGATCTCATATAAGCTAGGCAAGTGCTTTACCACTGAGCTATGTCCCCAGTTCTTTAGATTCATAACATTTTACATATATATACATACATATATATGTATATATATATAATATGTATATATCTCACTCCTTACAAAGTCACACACAGAATAGATACATTTATGATTATCCTCATTTTAGAAATGAGTACATGAAGACAGAGGAGCTGAGGACCTTGTGTATGGTTCCAGCTTTTGAGGGGCAGAAGTAGGATCCGCACCTAAACAACCTGGCTTCAGAGCCTGCTCTGAATTTTGTCTTGTGCTGAAATGAGGACAGACAGGAACAAGAGAAATACAATTTGGTGCCATATTTGCATCCTTACTTCTTCCAAAATCGGGTGAGGACCCATAATTGGGTGAAATCAGGGTTCCGAGTTAATTGATGCTCCTCAAATCATAAGAAAACCAGACTGAACAGTGTTCCAGTTTATTTCTTGCACACTTCCACCCTGCCTTCTTCTGCGCATCGGGCTGGACTTCACATGTGTCTGGTGCTCTGCTCTGCTCAGGGGGATTGTTGCCCTTGTCCTTAAAGCCTCTCAGGCAAGAGTTGGTTCATGGGGCACCTGGAAAGGAGGAGTTCCAAGAACCCAAGATCATCCCCAAAAGGATCATCAGGAAAAACAGAAGAGATGGTGATGACCTGGTAGTCTCTGAGGCAGCAGAGGGTAGGGACAAACCTCGGTTCCCAGCTGGTTCGTGGAACACCCCTGTCCCCAGGGCTGATATTGGTAAAGATGAGCTCATGTGAGTCCAAACAGAGATGCCTTCTAGAAAGGGAAACAGCCAGCCAGCCATTCAGAATCTAAGCAAGAGGTTCAGGCAGCTTCCACTGACCTGAGGGAAACTGCTCTCCTGAGGGGAGGGGAACTAGGAATGAGGAAGAAGGAAGAGTACTGGACTGGATCTGGGAGATCTTGTGTGGCCCCAGCTCTACGTGACTGTAGTCTTTCTGTACAGGTGTTTTCTTATCCCAGCAAGCAGCCTGAGATGGTGTGACACGTCTGGAGTAGTGTCTCTGCCACGGAGATGCCATCGGACTCTGCCACAATCCAGAGCCAGTCTAGTGCTGGGAGCTAAGGGAGAATAGTGCTACTTCTCTCCTCTCTCTGCAAGCCCCTTGCTGAATGGTACTGAGATGACAAGTCCCCACTTGGGGAGAGGGCTCAGGGCATTAAGAGAACAGAGCAGGCAGGCAGAAAATGAGAAGGGTCCAGTGCTGCCTGCAAAGAGTCAGGCATAGGGCAGAAGTAAGGCTAGAACAGTGGTTCAAAACCTGGGAGTCACCTAAGACCATCAGAAAACACAGATATTTACATTATGATTCATAGCAGTAGCAAAATTAAAGTTATGAAGTAGCAATGAAAATAATTTATGATTGGAGGGTTGTGACAACGTGAGGAACTGCATTGAAGGGTCACAGCATTAGGAAGGTTGAGAACCACTGTTCTAGAGGATGTGAGGAGGGTCCCCAGCTTCCATCTCCCCATCTTCACTTGCTGTGTGGAGGGAAATGGAAGGAGAAGTATGTGCTATGGTTATGAAGGGTCTAAAGCAGTTGTCCTTGGAAAGGTGCCAACAAGATGTGTGCTGGTAGAGCCCTCACCCTGAGCACAGGACTTTGTTAAGAGGCCCTTGCCTGGTTACAGGTTGTGCTTACCCTGTGGTTTGGGGGACAGGCATTCCCAGCTACTGAGGGAGTAATAGATTATGTTCTTAGTAGTCTGCTCTGTGTAAGGGAGCCCAAGCAGGGTGTTCTCAGCATCCAGAGGAATCAGGGGAGAGGGCTAGGCCCCATGACTTGGCACACACACACACACACACACACACACACACACACACACACACACACACACACACACAAATCACCAGAAGGAAGCTCTGGTTCCTAATCAATGACTCCCATGTGGGAAGTCTAGTGTGGATTTTAACCTGTTCCGCGGGAGGCTGTGTGGATGAGTGAGGGCCCTGGAAGTAGCTCTGCCGAACTTGACAGCTCTGCTAAACTGTTCTTTGGTCACCAGTCTGCAGGTTAACAGTCTAACAGAGCAGCCTAGACTGCCAGCTTGGACCTTTCAGGGAACTGAACGACCAAACTGTGGTCTTTAGGTAGAGTGCAAAGAATCCTAGCCTGTAGTTCTTTCCTCCAGGCTGCTTTGTGTGGTGTGGTTTGGTGTGGTGTGGTGTGGTGTGGTGTGGTGTGGTGTGGTGTGATGTGTGGGGTGGTGGTGGTGGTGGTGGTGGTGTCTGAGGTAGCCTATGGTGACTTAAAATTCATAGTCTTCCTGCCTCAGCCTCCAGAGTGCTGGGATTACATGTTTGTATTATCATTCCTTACTCAGGTTTATCCAGCATGCTGGAGGGAGAGGCAGGTGGATCTCAGTCAATTCAACGCTGTCCAGGGCTGCGTAAAGAGATCTTCCCTCCCCCAACATGGTACCCTTCCTCCAGCACCACCGTCTTAATCTGATCACCCACTCCACTCTTATGGAGACACCCAGCCCCAGTCCCTTCCACTGCTACCCCAAACCTGATGATCTTTATTCTTAGTGGGCACCAGATTACCCAAAACTGATTCCATAGACTCCATAGTGTCTTCCCATGGACAAAGGAGAGAGGAGACAGAAACCACAAAGTTGGATTTGAGGAATCTCAGATGTCAATACTGATCAAAGAAGGAATTACATTCTACAAAATCAGGTACTTAGAGCTGTGGTGGAACAGAACTAGAGGGGGAGATGTCATGGGCAGCCGGAAAAATATCCTGTTCAGAGTGGGAGGGCTGTAACACTTGGGAGAGTGGCTATGGACTTACACTCTAGGAGAAGGATCATGGGCCTGGAGCTTCACCTTAGCATTTGTCAGTGAATGGATTAGAAGAGACACATCGTGTCTCCTTCATCCTGACCATTCTGATGTACATTTCCCTGGGGGTGGAGAAGACATAGTCTGCTACCTAATAAGAATGCCTTCCCCACTGTCCTGGGCTGATGCAGGAACATTCAGAGGATAAAGGACACTCAAAAGTGCATGCTGTTTAGGCAGATGAGATTTGACTCAAACCCTACCTCTTCTGTTTACCAACTGTGTGACTGTATGTCTGTTAATCGCTTAGATGCCAAATTCTTTGATCCATTATGTAGAAATGCTAATAAACCCTCAATACTGTTTGGGAACCCATTGTTTAGCATAGCAGTCCATGGCATAGTGATCTGGAGCATCTTGCTTCTTCCCTTCCCTCCCCTAACTGTAACCTCACCAAAATCTCTGTAGAACTACAGTTGCTGCTCACAGGCTTCCTTTATGCCCTGCAGGGACAGAGCCAGGTAGAAGCAGAAGATGGAGCTGGATCCTGCGCTGCTCAACCTCAATCAGACACTTTCTGGGCCTGGGCCCTTTGTCCTGCTGGGTGTGCCAGGACTGGAGCGCCTGCATGCCTGGCTTTCTGTGCCTGTGTGCCTGCTGTATCTGGCATCTTTGGTAGGGAATACACTTCTTCTGGGGCTGGTAGCAGTGGACAAAACCCTCCGGGCTCCCATGTACCAGCTTCTGGGGCTTCTGGCAGCTGCTGACTTGATTCTGGCCACATCCACAGTGCCTAAAGCTCTAGCTGTGCTCTGGGGCTTGTCAGATGAAATCTCCTTCGGGGGCTGCTTAGCTCAGCTCTTTGTTGCTCATGTGGCCTTCATTGCTGAGTCCTCAGTGCTGCTGGCCATGGCAGTGGACCGCTATGTGGCCATCTGCCAGCCTCTACGCTATGGGGCTTTGCTGAGCCAGCGTGTGGTGGGTATAGTGGCTGTAGCAGCTGTGACTCGTGGTGCCTGTGTCATGGTGCCCCCTGTGGTCCTTCTCCAGAGACTCCCTTACTGTGGACATCGGGCCTTGCCTCACACATACTGCGAGCATATGGGTGTGGCTCGTCTAGCATGTGGTGACACACGTCCCAACATCTGGTATGGACTGGCTACCACACTGCTCTCTCCAGCCCTGGACCTAGGGCTCATAGGTGCTTCCTATGCCCTCATACTCCATGCTGTCTGTCGCATGCCATCTCCTGGTGCCCGCCACAAGACCTTGGGTACATGTGGGTCCCATGCTGGTGTCATTATTCTCTTCTACACACCTGCTCTCTTTTCCTTCCTGGCTCACCGATTTGGCCACCACACAGTTCCTGGCCACATCCATATTTTATTGGCGAATCTCTATGTGGTAGTTCCTCCAGCACTTAATCCTGTGGTCTATGGAGTGCGCACAAAGCAGATCACTCAGAGGCTTAGGCATTTGCTTCAAAGAGTTAGAAAGGTGGGCACTGACAGTCGAACCATCCCACATGCTTTATCTGTGTGAACCCAAGTGTTGACATCATCTGCCATCAGGTGGTGCTATAACCACACTACCTATTCCAAACATGTAGGCACGCAGAGTACACCAAACTGACCTCTCCCTACCCAGCTCCACCTGTACAGTCTACTTCTTACAGCTCTGTTTTGACTTCTAGTGACAAGTTACAAAAATCTAGAAGAGTTTAGGCCTTTCAGTGACATACAAGGAGGCCCAGGACACATCCACAAGACTACAATCTTTTTCCATCAGTCTACGAAAAGTCAGACTGGTTTGATGTGGCTGGGTGGGACCTTTGTAAGGTAACTGGTACTAAGAAAGAATTCCATGTCTGCTGAAGGGATGAAGACAGGAAGAGCTGGAGAAATAGTAGAGTGTGGATAAAGGGACGGAGCTTTGGAAACTTGGTTTTTGATCTGGGTGGTTAATACCTTGAGCTCTGGAGAGCTGGGGCGGGGGCCAGTACTGTAGCTGCCTCCCCAGGAGGCTTCCTATTTCTGATCAGATTTTGAGGGAGTTCCTGCTTTTTTCACCCTGTGTCATTTTCTAGATAAAGTTGCTAAGATATGGGAAAATGGCTACACTCATGTTGTCATGCTTCTTGCCCTGACTGTTCTCCTACTCAGGTTTCCTTCCATCTGTTCTTCCATGAAACATAGATGTAGTGATACCCATTTGGACCCTGAGCCCAGATATTTTCATATCATGTGCATATTTGGTTTTAGAACCAACTCCCAAGATAACCAGAGGCTGTCTTTTCAACCTCTGTGATTCCTGGATGAAAAGGTCAGGATCCAGAACTTGATAGAGAATGAATCTCTGGTTTTAAGTAGGGAGCCAGACAGTGAGAATCTATAAACCAAGATAAAATGTAACCTTACAGAGAAGATTTTCCTATATTGTAATGTAATGTAATTCCTCAGGATTATACTTATGTCAGTTCTTGAAGCCTTCCTAGAATAGGAAATGGAAACTTCATGTGCCTTTTTAAAACCAGGTGTACAGCACAGGTAGATTCTCAAAGGATGAGTGAGTAGTCAGAGGGCCTTGGTGCTAAGTGGCTACAGTATCTGGATTTAAGGGCACTGTGAGAAGTAAGGAAGCAACAGTAGACAGAGCTAGTAGTTATAGCTACCAACCTTCTCAATAGAAATGGAATGACAAGCGCTTCATGGAAAGCGTCCTGGGAAATGTAGCATCTCCCAGGCACATGGCAATGGGAGACTCCACGTTGCTTGAGAAGTAAGTACTCAAGTAAGATGACTGAGGAGAAAGAGAGGGAGGGAGAGAGAGAGATTTAGGATACCCAGAAGTGAGAGCCCTGAGCTGTGATTTCTTATCCAGGCCTTAGGAACCAAGCTCTTTCTTTTCTATAGGAATATCTGCTTGAGAGGCTGGAGAACTTGAGGCTTGGTAGCCTCCTGTTGTTGGTGGCATGGAGGCTTCTTAGAGCACAGGCAGCAGAGGCTGTGGACATTTGGAGTAGGTAGAATAGGAGAGCATTGGAGGTGAAGTAGAATGGACACGTTTGGAATACACAGGGTAGTGGAGGAGGCATACTGCTAAGAATGAAGGAAGGTTTGTAACAGGGCAAAATAGTGCAGTGTTGCTTAAGCAATCCCCCCAGGGGCACACTTTGGCCTCCATCCAGGGACATGATTAAGTGGTTAAGTAAATGGCTTCTGTTCTTAGATTGAACAGGTTAGGTTGCATTTCCTTCTAGAGGCTTCCTCCCCCTGAAAGTTGAGGAAAAGACCATAATCCCCCTTGAAAGGGGCCCATCCCAAGGCCCCTCTGGATGTCTCAGGTTTGCTTTAATCTATTTGTATAGGAGGGCCTGGCAGGGTGGGGACACATCTCTGGGGTGGATGAAGTCAACCCTGTTTTCATAGAGGAAACCCACTTCCACCCATGTTTGAAGTTGCCAGTTTTTTATGACCCCCTTTCCCGCCCTTCAAGACCCTCCACATATCTTAGCTCTTTAGATGTTGAAATCTTTGTCTCCTCCTACTGAGACTATTCATCTGCAATGAAGATAAAAACTCAGGGGAGCCTAGGGACTTACCCAATACCTACAGTTGGACCAAGATGCAGCCTGAGCCAGCTCTTTTGGCCTCCTTTCTACTGCTGCTGCCCCTGGTGCTTCCAGGACAGCCTCAGGTACAGGCAAAGGGTGAAGGCGTCATGTAGGAGAGAGAGTTCTATGTTTTGGGCTGGCCTCTCTTTCTGTTCTCATTTTGTTCAAGAATTTCTAGGTCCCTGGCAAGAGTGAAGATAGGGAAAACTGGAGGAGGAGAAACAAAGGGTGGGACACCATTTTGCTGATTGTCCTTTGGGTAGTATGGGTGTAGGATGAGAGGGGAGAAAGACAGAGAGAGAAATACAGAGGGGAGAGAGAGAGAGAAAGAGAAATACAGAGGGGGGGGGGGTAGGCACTTTGGACTGTACATCCTGCTGTTACAAGTCCTTGTTTTCTACCAAACACAGGGCATACTCTTCCTGTGATAAAGATGCTGGTGAGCCCAAGGCATTATAGGTTAAGTGGCTTTATTTTAGTTTCTGTCTAAATCTAAATACTATTGAAAGTGAGTTTTAGGCTGAAGATATAGCCAGAGTAAGCTATGGGTATCAGACAGAGTTCAAAAAGATATGGGGAAGGTAAAGATTCTCAGAGAAGTACAGGGACCATATGTAAACCCCAGCTGGTACCGTGGGCATAGTCTAAAATTTGGTAAGGAGTTTTTAAGCAAGTGCTGGCTTATTCAGCTTCAAAACAAAATGGAGAAAGAATTAATGAATTATAATAACACATCTAAGGGATTCTAAGCAGGCGGGCACTGTCTTAAGTGCTCTACCTGTCTATCGTATCCATGTCTGTCTGTCTGTCTGTCTGTCTGTCTGTCTGTCTCTCTCTCTCTCTCTATCTATCTATCTGTCTCTCTGTCTGTCTATCTATCTATCTATCTATCTATCATCTATCCATTCATCCATCAATCTACCTACCTACCTACCTATCTACCTACCTATTTTAAAGTAAAACAATAGGGAAAATGCCACAATTTCTATCACTATCCACATCAAGCTACTGGGACACAGAGAGATTACATATGCAATGTTGAGAAAAAATAGGAAATGTAGCTCTAGAATCAGTGGATTTGACCTGGATGTGAGCCAGCCGTGTTATGCAAGGGTAAGAAGAATTCAGCTTATGTGTCTCTTAGCCATAGAGTCGCTGCCCTCTTGCTCTGGTTCACTGAGCTCCCTCCTGCCCTCACCTTCTTGGATTAGGCTGACCCACCCCATCATAATGAAGAGCTGTGTAGTTGCCTTTGATGTAAGAGCACAAGACCTGGAATAAATGTCAAACTTTGAAGAAGCTCTCAGCCTTGTCAGTTATTAATTACGTGATTTTGTAAGATTCTTTTAATCTCAGACCCTTGTGATTTTTCAACTGCAGTTCATGGATCACCACTCACCTTATGCTATGTTCTTGTGAGTGATAGATCTGGATCCAGACAGGGTTTCCTCCTGCTGCTTCCCTTAATGATTAGGAACTCTGTCCTTCTGCTTTCTTCAGGAGAGGCTGAGGTTGTGGAGGTCTGCCCAATCCCAAGTGTGGGGTCTTTGTCAAGAACTGAAGTTCCTTAAGCCTGCCTCAAGGCTTTTCTGAAGGCCAGAAAGCATTGCCTTCTCCCACAGATAAAGGAAATCTTGACAGTCAGGATTGTGGAGTGTAGTTATACCCATTCAGTTCAAGATCAGGGTGAGAGTGATCAAATAATGGAAGCTAGAAGGGGACTGAAACTTCAATTCTGGCAAATTAAAAGTAGCTCAAACTCCCAACAAAGAAACCTCTAGGCAGTCAGGAAGATCCCCACATGCAAAGTGTTCTCCATCATCCCAGAGCGGGGCTGGCCTTTTTTCCTGCCTCCCTTTTGCAAACAGCATGTGGTGATCCAGTGTGCTTCACTGCCCTCAGTGTGCCTATGACCCTGCTTTTGCAGCTGGTGAGAAGTGCATTGAACTCCGTGGATGAGAGTGGTACTTTCCAGTGTGTGGTTCATCTGCCCAACAACTCTATCTTCCTGCAGCAGCTGGAGCAGCTACAGAGTACATTACAGGATCTCATTGGCAAGTATGAAGAACAGCTGTCCAGGGTGAGTGCTGGAGCTTTGTGCTGGAGTTGAGGCAGTAGGTTTGTAAGCACATCCTTTACTGGCTTCAGTTTAGGAACGAGTCCCTGGCGATGATTCCCTGTCTTTGAGATCAATCCTTAGGAATTTTTTTTGCCTTCAGAAAAACAAGGACTTGAATGTCCTCAGGTAAGAAGGGAAATTTGGTACTATTCTTGTGGTCTTCAATAGCAATAACAGTAAAGCATGGCTTGTAGATGTTTACAGGAGCTTCTCACATTAATAGATAAAATAGTGGTTGTAGATCCATTGAAAAAACTAGAGCAGGAAAGACAGACACATATATAGTCTAATCAAAGGATTGAAAGTAGAATGATCAATGTGGAGGAGCAGAGATTTGTGTTAGGGAACTGAAATAGAAGTGTGTGGAAGAGTTGATCTGGAAAGCTTGGCACTGAGCCTATAATAAGGGCAAGTGAGCAGAACTATTATATGCGTGGTCCAGGGTGGCTAATGGTTTAGCAAACCTTACTTGCTGAGCTCCCAGGGAAGCTTAATGATATATGGCAAGACTGGAAGCTGGTATTGTTTATACTTTTACTCATCTAACTAGTCTTAAGAGATGGCTCTAAAGGGTTCTATGAATGACGTAAGTGGAATTTTTTTGCCTTCAGAAAAACAAGGACCTGAATGTCCTTAGGTAAGAAATGGGGGATCATACTATTGTTAAATAAAGATATAGACATAAGGTGGATATGAATGGATGAGAAGAGTCAGGCTCCTTGACATTTAGAGGAACTATAAACCTATCCTCTCATGACCAGGCCAAGGAGTATGCTTATATCACTGAAGATCAAGACAGCCAGACTCTAGAACTGAGTCACATGCTGGAGTCCAAGAATCCCAGTGTAACTATGTCCCAGTATGACAACCCAGCCTTCAACCTGCTACGTCTGGAGCTGGAAGGAGCACAAGAGTTGGCAGCCCAGCTTCAGGCCAAGGCAGGTGTCAGTGGGGCCACAGAGCTCCTCCAACAACTCCAGAACCAGGTATGTAGAGAGATTAAAGAGCCCTCCCTTACTCTCACAGCCTTTTGTCTTACCTGGTTAGATATCGTATTTGACACTTTCCAAAACCTCTTTCTGGAGAAGACTCGGAACGTAAAAAAATGTCAGTATGAGTTGAGCTTGAGGACACCCTGTGATCCACATTCCTGGGATCTCATTCCCTCAGGTCACTAATGCCAGTCTGACCCTGAAGCTTCTGGCTGACTCTGACTACCAAAGCTTCCGTACTCTCCGAGAGGAGGTAGATATCCTTGAGGGCCGACTAAGTGAGTGCGAGAGGGAGAAGGAACAGGAACAGTCTTCCAGCTACTCTGGTCCACCCCTGGCTCCCGGTGAGTTCACAGACTGAATTCCCCAAGACTTTGTTTCTCCATTGACTGGGTCAAATGCATGATTGCTATAATAGATTGAGGGACTAATGGGGGCCAGTAAAGATCTTGATAAAGAATAAGTCTTCAGTTTCCTGATTATAGAAAGATTGGTATCTTCTCATGGACATACCCACATATGTGGTCATTCATACTTCTCATACCCAGGCACATGCACTCATCCCTATTTATGCAAAATCAGTCTATTTATATGATTATATATATACTTGCATGAGCATGCTCTCTAGCACGCATGTGCTAATTATACTTCATACTCTGCTTTCTCTGGGTTATATACATTGTACCTAGCTCATATCTGGCCCACTCACCCCTGTAGGTTCCTGCACTCATGGAGGCCTACAGAAAGTGAGCAGACCCCTTGTGCTGAAGCTCAACTGGAGGGGTTTATCATACAAGGCAGGTGCCTGGGGCCGAGACTCAGCACCCAATCCAACTTCTTCCCTTTACTGGGTGTCTCCTCTGCGTGCTGATGGCAGGTGAGTCCTGAGGCAAATTTTCTGTGCCTGGGTCCATTCCATATGCACTTTAACCTGGCCCCAACTGGTTTCCTAGTAGCCCTAGCACCGATTCTTTTCTTTGTTTTATGTTTGCTGCTGGGCCCGCCAGTGTAGCCTGGACTTGGCAGATGGCCACCTGGTACTTCCTATGGGACATGTATGGCCCATTCTGCTCTGCAGTTCTTAATTTTATCACGAACCAAAGTCTTATCCCAACTCAAAGACAAACTCTTCTATATCTCAGCTTTAGAATCCTATTTTTTCTGCTTAGAACTTCAGATAATGATCCTGGTCAACCTTAAGACCTGCAGTAAAGCTTTTACCGAGGACGGTTTTTGATGTTGTAATTATGATAAATGACTTCAGATGGATGAACCACTCTTTTTAAAAATTAATTTATTCATTTTATATCCCAACTGCAGCTTCCCCTTCCTCCTCCTGTCCCACTCCCTCCCCCTCCCCTGCATACTCCCCTCATCAATCCAACCCTTCTCTGTTGCTAATAAAGAGGCAGGCCTCCCACGGGCATCAGTAAAGCATGGCATATCAAGCTGCCATAAGATCAAGCACCTCCCCCTGTATTCAGGCTGGGCAAGGCAATACAACATGAAGAATAGGTTCCCAAAGCCAGCCAAAGCACTAGGGATAGCCCTGCTCCCATTGCCAGGAGTCCCACAAATAGACCAAGTTACATAACCATCACATATATGTAGAAGGCTTAGGTCAGTCCCATGCAGGCTCCTTGGTTGTTGGTTCAGACTCTGTGAGTTTCCATGAGCCAGGCTAGCCCTTTCTGTGGGTTTCCTCTAACGTCTCTGACCTCTCTGGCTCCTACAATCCTTCCTCCCTCTCCTCAGCAGAACCTTGCAAGCTTTGGCCTCTGATCTCTGAACCTGTCTCCATCAGTCACCGTATGAAGGTGGATGAACCACTCTTAACCGTATATAACATGAGGATAATTAGATATACGATAAAACTTCATGAAATTACATGAAATAGTATGACTTACTGCAGTAGGCACTGATAAGTGTTTGTAAATGAATGGCTAGATGAGTCAATGAACAGGTGTGTGAGCCCTTCAATAGGCCAGCCTGGCCAGGAAGGTGGGTACAACTTACTATGGTTAAAGTCAGTGAATGTGGAAGTGTGGTGTGGACTTAACTGAGCAGCAAGTCATGGGAGAGAGGAATAAATGTCGGTGGAACCAGTCATTAAAGAGCCTCACTTGAAGCTTATCTGAAAGGTGAACATTAATCATAATAATACTCACCAGCTCCTATTGTATATCCCATAAGACACACCAGCAAGCCTTTACTCTGGTTACTCTCAAGATGCTAACTGGTAGTTTAGAACTTACTGCCCAATGTTAAGACATGAGAATGTTTATAACCTAAGAATGATTTTATTGAAAGCTCCTTGAACCTAACTCTAGAACCATAGTCTACTACAGGGCACTTGCGTCTCGCCAGCACATGGAATGTAGTGCAGCCTTGCTACAGGGGGTGTACATAAAGAATAATCAGCTACTCTTTGTTGATTGCTCTTTACGATCAACACTGTACTGAATTATTGGTGAAATTATTAAGGCCACTCCACGTAGTTAAAAGGGAGGTTTATTTTGAGGGGTAACTTACAAGTGAATGGATAGTTTACAAAGTCTGGGAAAGGCGTGGTGCATTCTGGTGGTGTTTTCTGGAGAACTCTGCTCAGTCTACCTCCAGTGTCCGGGGTCCAGGAACCAAGAGAGCCAGTGCATCTGGATCTCGGGTCTTCAGGGTCCTCTCTTGTCCCCGCCTTGTAGGCGTGACAGTTACTGAAGCCTCAATGGGGGTTGGAACTTCCAGATCAGAGCTGGAATGGCTACCCACTACACTAAATTTATTATTTTCATCATCTAGGTCAGTTTTCACAATCAATGAAGTATATCCTTTTGTTATTCCTGTCAGGGTTCACTTATAAGCTCTGTGACTTTGAGGAAAGAACCTAAACTTTCTGAGACCTAGCCCTCTAATCTTTGAGAGTAAAATTAGCCTTATATTATGTTTTCAGTATAATTTAATGAGAATGTGCATTTACTTGGCAAGCAGACACCGTAGCTATTGCTTTTTAAAATGGTTACTTATTTCAGCATAATATATAGTAAGTAAAAGATGAAATACCATTTGACACCAAAGTCCCTGCTCTTAATTGGCACATGAGGCTTCCCAGTTTTATTTTGTTTGTGTATGTGAGAATTTCACATACAAGTACAATGTATTTTCTTCATGTACATCCCTCAATCCCTGACTCACCTCTAATTCTTCCTGTGTGTCCCCCATATCTCCCTTTAAAATATATGTCCTCTTCTTCTGTAATTACACCACACACACACACACACACACACACACACACACACACACACACACACACACACACACCCAAATACACAGAGTGTATTGAGTCCAATAGTGTTTCCCATATGTACATGTGTATAGGACTAACCACTTGGGCATGGGCAAATCTGTTAGGGAGTTTGACCCTGAGGAAAACAGACTCTCCTTCCCTCCACAGCTATAAAGTGCCTATAACTCTCCACCTAGGGCTAAGACCTCATAAACCTTTCCCACATCTATGCTGAGGTGTTTATTGGTCTAGTTCAGGTCTTATGTAGGTGACCATATTATTGTGAGTTCATGGGTGAAACATTCCTGTCATGTCCAGAAGACATAGCAGTACTCCTGGTCCTTTGGCTGTTACAGTTAATTTTTCCACCCCTGCTTCTGCTGTGTTCTCTGGACTTGATGGTAGGGGTTATGTTATGAATGTCCCATTTGGGCATGAGAGGCTGATCATTTTCATAGGTTTTTTAATACTCTGGTTACTGCTGTCACTGAATGGTTCTGATGTTGGGGGGTGGGGGGCTTGGCCTAGGTACTTTGACTACTACAGGCTGGTTACTGCTGTCACTGAATGGTTCTGATGTTGGGGGATGGGGGACTTGGCCTAGGTACTTTGACAACTACAGGCTGGTTACTGCTGTCACTGAATGGTTCTGATGTTGGGGGATGGGGGACTTGGCCTAGGTACTTTGACAACTACAGGCTGGTTACTGCTGTCACTGAATGGCTCTGATGTGGGGGTGGGGCTTGGCCTAGGTACTTTGACTACTACAGGCTGCACAGGTCCTATGATGACCTGCTGCTGCTGAAGCACTATGAGCAGTGGAAGATGGGCTACGGTGATGGCAGCGGCAATACCGTGTACAAGAACTTCATGTACTTTAACTACTATGGCACAAGAGACATGGCCAAGGTGGACCTTTCTTCCAACACCCTAGTGCTGCGACGTCCATTGCCTGGTGCCACCTACAACAACCGCTTCTCATATGCTAGTGTGCCTTGGACTACCTTCGATTTTGCTGGTGACGAGAAGGGGCTGTGGGTGCTCTATGCCACAGAGGAGAGCAAGGGTAACCTGGTAATAAGTCGTCTCAATGACAGCACCCTAGAAGTTGAGCAAACCTGGTATACCAGCCAGTATAAGCCTGCTCTTTCAGGGGCCTTCATGGCCTGTGGGGTTCTCTATGCTTTGCGCTCACTAAGCACTCGTCAAGAGGAGATCTTTTATGCTTATGACACCACCACTAGTCAGGAACACCACCTCAGCATCCTGTTGGACAAGATGCTGGAAACACTGCATGGCATCAATTACTGCCCTTGGGACCACAAGCTCTATGTTTACAATGATGGATTCTTAATAAATTATGATCTTACCTTCCTGACACTAAAGGAAAAGCTGCCAAGCTCTCCCATTAAAAGGCCTCCTGGGGCTTTAGCTCCATCCAAACCTATCAAGTTCAGCAAACCCTCCGGGCCGGGAGACTCTGACTGATCAGGGTACTCATAAAAGTATATTGTCTTCCTCACCTCTAGAAGGACAACTCCTTTAATAACCATCTACCCAAATGATTGAGATACAGTGATTATGTTTAATTCTGTATGTAATTAATATCTCAATCAACACATTAAGGTACTAATAATGGCCTGTAAGATTTCGATTAAGAAACAAAAGACAATATTTGCTAGAGAGGGTTTGGAAAGGGTAACAGAATGCTAAATTATGTGTTTAGCATGCACCAGGCCCTACATTCAATGCTTAGCACAGTGGGTGGGAAAAAACCTCATTATTCAATCCTTGGCATTAAAAAATAACAAAAAAAAATTAGCTAGAGAACTGTTGCCCCTTCTCTAATGTTTGGGCATCATGCTTTAAAATTTACCAGGATAGTTCCTAGAGTTCTAGGATTTAGTGACCTTTCATTCTCAGGGTCAAGTTGAGTGCATCTGATTCCAGTATAGAAGATCCATGGCAACTGGTATTGAGAGAGGGGTGCAGAAGTCCCCTTCATAACTCCACACCCCTGAAATGTTGTGCAGAGAAAGGGAGGGAGAATATTGGTCTGAAGATAAGTTCTTCACTGCCCTCAGCCAGTCTCACTTTTGAGTAGAACTGAAAGAGGCACTTAGGCCTGACCCTGGTCTAGGAGGTTAGCAACTGAATTAGGATAAGTAACATGGGATATGGTTTGGAGTGTGGATGAAGACATTCTCAATAAAGACTTGTTGGTGTGATTTTGGAGGAAGTCTCCTAGCATGTGTTTGTGCTTTCTTTCCCCTCTTCAATGCCCTAGAACATGTGGGTTCAAACTCTCTGTGTGTTCCTTATCTGTCCAGATAATGCTCACCTCTCTCTAGGCAGCTATATAAACACAGATTCCCAAGCCGTCCCAGTCATAGAGGATGCATGCACTTTCTTTATGTGTATATTCACAAACATGAATCCTAGAACACGTGCACTTCCAATTTGTATATATAATCATTCTACATTTAAGTATTCATGCAGATATCTTAACATGTCCACTAACAGTTAGAGCTTCCTAAAAAAGCAGTCAAATACTAGCTCCAAGAAACTGGGGTCCTGAGAATCTTGCCATGTCACTTGCTGGAGCCTGTTCCCCTTAGGAAATGCAGTGCTAAACATTTTCACTGCTACCACTTAGTCTGGAGGTACCTGCCCTCTTTGGTGTTTTCACCTAAGACTGAGCAAAGATCTTGAACTCAATCACTCAGAAAGCCTGTTATAGTGGCATATAGAGAGACCAAGACATGTAAACTATGTGAATAAAAAGTGTGCTGTAAATAGCAGCCTATTCACCTCTACTTTGGGGGTTTCCTTACAGAAAGCCTCCTTGACCAGTTCTACCCCTAATTCCCAGAGAAAAAAATCTTTACCTACTTCATGGGCACATTCTCACTTAAGTCTAGAATCCCACAGTCTAGACCTCAGAGGAAAATGTGGCTTCCTTTTCACATTTTCATTTTTGTTTCATTTTCCTTCCTTCCTTCCTTCCTTCCTTCCTTCCTTCCTTCCTTCCTTCCTTCCTTCCTTCCTTCCTTCCTTCCTTCCTTCTTTCCTTCCTTCCTTCCCTTCTTTCTTTGCTTTTTTAAAAACTTAATTCTTTATTGATTCTTTGGGAATTTCATGTCATATACCCCAATCCTGCTCACCTCCCAGTCCCTCCATATCTACCCTTCACCTCTGCAGCATGTCTCCCCAGAAGAACTCCCACCCCCCCAAATTAATTAAAAAACAAAATAAAAAACCACCTTGCTCCTCAGTCTTTCCAATACTTCTTCATTCATTCTAGTGGTATCAGGAATTGCAGTGTGCCACACATTACACCCTTTTGTCCAATCAGCCCCATCCTTAAAATGTTTGTTACAATGAGTCATTGGTCTGGTTCAAGGCCTCTGGCACACCATCATCACTGGACACTCACTGAAACTCCTCTTCGATATCCTACTATTGCCCCGAGTCATGGAGATCCTGCAGTTATCGTTCTGTGGGACCAGTCCCTCCAGCAGGTCATGGGGTAGATGTTAGGGAGGGCCAAACCAAGGCCCAGGATGTGGGTCTGGGTGGTAGCTGAACTGGTCAGTCTAGTCCACTGTGACCACCCTTGTCAGGAGAGGAGTGGAGTCAGCTCTCTTAGGCCCATGTCCTTGGGGCCAGCTCTCCCATGCCCATGGTGAGGAGTGGGGCCTGGCCAGTCCTCCTGAGTACATGTAGGGGGTGGTGGTAGCTCTCCTATGGGGGGTGGTCAAGGCAAGTTCTCATGCTGCAATGTCCAGTAGGGAGCAGGACCAGCTATCCCAGGACCAGTAAGGGGCCGTGCTGGCTCAGCACAGCCTTTGGATTTTAATGTGCAAGGTTCCTATAATACCCTGTGGTAACACAGGTCATGGGCATCAGCACAGACTCTAGCTGCAGTAGGATCATGGACCCAGACATAGCCCTAGACAGCATCCCAGGCCTAGACATCACCTTGGTCCTGGGTGGCAAGCAGACCACTAGCATCAGCCCATTCCTCACCATCCCCAATTCTTCAGAACTGCCTCTTACCACAGCACACTCCTTCCTCCTTCCTCTCCCATTTCTCCACCATATACTTGCTTATCATAATGGCACTTATCCATCCAGTGTCACAAGGCACCGGGCAGCCCGTGGATGTCTTCAAGTAGGACAGACCATGAGGATCCAGGCTGCCCCATGGGTGTCTTTGGCTCGCCTGAGTCACGTGGCCTGATTTTCCTTCATGCACTGACAACCCAGCCATGGTGACATCCATGCTACTGCCAAGGACCATGTCTCAGTCCATGGTTCACCCACCATTGGGGTCTGTATTGGTGTCTATGGCCCACAGTGCCACTAAAGGCCACACAGACATCAGGGGCCTGGGCCACCACCTAGAACCAGATTAGTGTCTGAGGGTTGAGCCTCTGCCAGGGCCATGTGGATCTGAGTAGCCTACGCTGCCATCCAGGGTCATGATGTCGTCTGGGCCTGGGTTGCTGCTGTGGTCTGTGTTGATGTCCACGACTCCTGTTACTACTGAAAGAAATGAGGATAGGGCTGCACAGAGTTGATCCTGCTCCTTACCAACTCCAGCACTCAAGAGAGAGGGCCCTGTATCTCCCTAGGGCAGCACAGTAGAGCTGTCCCTGCTGGCATAGGTGCAGGTGAGCTGACCTGAGAATTGGAGAACTAGTCCCATGGTCTGTCATGTGGTGGCATGGGTGAGGGAGAGATATCCTCCTTGCCCCTCGTCTCCCATCCCTCACCATCTACTGCAGGTGGGAAAAGCTGGTCCTGGGGACATGAGAGTGGGAGAGCTGATCCTGCCCCTCACTGGTTGCAGCACGCAGGAGAGTGGGCCCTGCACGTTTCTGGGGCAGCAGAGTAGAGCTGACCCCACTGATGGGAGGTGCAGGTGTTCCGGTGCTGCAAATGCGTGTGGGAGATCTGGCCCCACCATTCATCTGCCATATGGTGGAGAAGGAGAGTTGACCTCCCCCTCTCCCCCTGGCCACCTGTGGGTGGCTGTCTCTGAGGTCATGAAAGTGGGAAAATTGGCACTGCCCTTCACCAGCAGTAGCACGTGGGAGAGCAAGCCCTGCACCTTACCCAGGCCATATAATAGAGCTGACCATGTTGGCAGGGGTGCAGGTGAGCCAGGGCAGTGGGTATGAGAGCAGGAGGACTGACCCCCTCCCTACTCCCACCTGCCACGTGGTGACATGAATGAGGAAAAAAAAAAAAAAAAAGCTCTCCTTCCCCTTTCTCCTTTGCCACCTGCAGCAAGTGACAGCTGGCCCTGGGGTTGCAAGAGTGGGAGAGCTGGCCCTGCCCCTTACCAGCTGCAGCACACGGGAAGGCAAGCATGACGCCTCACCTGGGCAGCACACTAGAAGTGACGCTGTTGGTGGGGCACAGGTGAGCCAGGCCTGTGAGTGTGAGAGCAGGTGAGCTGCCCCTTCCCTCTCCCCTGTAGACTATGTGGTGGCAAGGGTAAGGGAAATACACCCCCTCTTTCCCCTCTTGCCACCTGCAGCAGGCGGGAGAGCTGGCCTAGAGGGCATGAGAAGGGAGGAGCTGGCCCTGCCCCTCACCAAGTGCTGCAGTCTGGGCCTTGCACCTCGACTAGGCAAAACAGTAGAGCTGGCCCTGGCGGTATGAGTGTGGGTAAGGCGGACCTGAGGGTGTGAGAGCAGGGGAATTGGCTCTGCTCCTTGCTGTCTGCTACATTGGGCAAGTGAGCCGGGGCAGTGCTGGAGAGCTTGCCTGGGTTGTGACAATGAGGGAAAGCTGGTGGTCTGGCCAGCCCACCTAACACCCAGGCCCAGAACCAGGACTATGAGTTAGCCCCACCCCACCACCCACCTCACCTATGAACTGCTGGAGTATGTGAAGGGGCTGGACCTGCAGATCTAAAGCTATGGGAGGTCATGACACAAGGCAACAATAGGATCTCCAAGAGGGGTCCCAGTGAGGGTCCAGTATCGAGGGTATAACAGAAGCTAGAGGCCTTGAACCAGATAGAACACTTACAGGTAAAGATATATGGACTGAAGGGTATACTGTGTGACTCACTGGGCCATACTACAGCTTTCATGCTGAGATTTAAAAATTTTTTTCTTTTTTACTTAAAATTTTGGGTTTTTTTTTTGTGGGGAGGTTGCAAGGACAGAAGGCAGAAGGGAGGGGACAGGGAGATGAGTAGGATCAGGATGCATGATGGGAAATCCACAAGGAATCAATAAAAAGTAAAAAAAATATTATTTTATTAAATTAATTTAGTTTTTTTTTTTTTTTTTTTTTTTTTTTTTGGTTTTTCGAGACAGGGTTTCTCTGTGTAGCTTTGCGCCTTTTCCTGGAACTCACTTGGTAGCCCAGGCTGGCCTCGAACTCACAGAGATCCACCTGGCTCTGCCTCCCGAGTGCTGGGATTAAAGGCGTGCGCCACCACCGCCCGGCTTTAATTTAGTTTTTGA